ATGATAATTTCTATGCCAACTATTCAAAGCTCATGGTTGCAAAATGCTATTACTCTAGAGAACTAGATTTTAATATCTTATAAGCTTGGTAGGTGTATTAAGAATTACATATAAAACATTCATCATTATCAAACTAAAAGATATGCACATATCTGCGTGAAACTGTTTATCAAAATTTTATAGCAATGTGATCTATTATGCTACATATTTATACATTGAATTTATTTTGTAAGGAGATGTTAAATTTTGATGTATAATTAACAACTTTATGTAATGTTATAATATATATCATCAATTACTTTGTAATATTGTGGACATTCAATCTATAATAAAGTGCACTTTAAATTTCTCATCACAATACAAACACAGTAGCATATACTAGAACCATCACGATTAAGAACAAATAATTATAATACCAAAAGACTTATATTAAAGAGAATTAATGTTTAACATTTTATTAAATAGTTATTTAATAGATTAGTAACAATTTAAAGTCTAGGCTTTTGCATCAAATACAAACATCGATAATATTACAATTATGATAAAATCTTGGTAAATGCTCTTTCTTTTTTCTTATGTTAGTTGGAAAGTAGTAATGGTCTAATCTGGTGCTAATATTCATCAATTATAACGTGCAAAATTTGAAAGAAGAACAATAAGTTTGAAAACAAATAAGGTGTGAACCATAGTACTAGTTCGAATAAGGTTTGAACAATATTCAAACTCGCTTATAATCTCTCTTAATTTCTTTAATATATAATAGTTAGATTGAAGTTATATGACATTGATCTAAGAGAGATAATATGTACATTTGATGAGGAAAAAAGAAATGAAAAATTAGTAAATGCTCGGACCACATTAGAATACGGTTCAAAATTCTTATTATAACTTCTTACCCGTTAAAATTTTCTCTAAACATAATTTCACTTTTAATGGTTGAACCCTAGCTTTAAAATACTAATTCAAATTTTGTTCAATAACTTCTTACCCTAGATTTTCCTTCCATTTCTTGTTTTTTTAACTATAATTTAGGATGTTGCATTTGAATAGACTATGATTATATTCACTTAATGAAAAAAAAAAAAGAAGAAGAGAGTTATTCATAGTTAAGCTTTGTAACAAACAAACTGCATTTGGTCAAAGCAAGATGTTTGTATGTTAGTATTATAAGAATAATCATATCCAAAATAAACTTTTGAGTATGATCTAACAAAAGTATATATTCAAAGAGAAGCATTATAAGGCAAAAAAAGTCTAATGCCCTGATCCAATTTTTAACTATCGAAAATAACTTGGAAGCTAGATTTGTTACCTCGTATATATAACACGAGAAAATCAAATCCAACAATATAATAATTTTTAATAAGGGTACAAAAATGCTCTTTCTAGACATAAATAATTAGAGCTAGTATTCTTAAAACAGAATTTAATCATAATTTATTCTAATGTAATTGGAGTTTGTAAACATCCATGACCATTGATTAGTTCTGATTAATCATATATGAAAGTATTTTAACATTGCCTCCAAAACCCTATCTGTTGATGGTCTGTAAGTTTTCACAGAAGTTGGGGTTTAAGGGCCTCCTTCATTTCAAAGGTTATCGTTGCCCTAATATCTTTTCTCTTTCCCTCTATCTCTCTCGCCTCCAAGCTCTCTTCTTTCGGTGAATCATGGAAGAAATAGTTAGGGCCCTGAAATAAGACAATTGGATTGATTCCTTTTTGCCTTCTAGTATTTTACGGCGCTGCAAGAATTAGGGTTGTAATCGAGCCGAGCTTGACCAAGCTCGGGCTTGGCTCTTGTTTGGCTCGTTCGAAACTCCTCGTGTTAAAAAACTGCTCGTGTTCGAAATCGGCTCGTATTTGAAATCTGGTAGTGAAGAATGCGTTCGTGTTCGACTCAATTTAAATATTCGTATTCGTGTTTGACTCGAAATTGGTTCGTTAAAATTAAATTGAAAAAAAATAAATGTAAAGTGTTGTATTTGAATCTGGTATGCAAAAGAAAACACTAGCCACATTATCATATGAGGTGTTACAACTTAAATGTAGATATAAATATACGTAATATATTATTATATAAATAATATATGTAATATATTATTACATAATTTTTTTTTTATTTCGAGCTAAAACGAACCGAACACGAGAGAACAAAGAGTTGTTCGTGTTCGACTAGTTTATAATTCGAGCTTTCAAAACTTGTTTGCGTTCAGCTCGTTCAACGAGCCGAACTTGAACGAGTCGAACACGAGCTACTTAATGAGCCGAACACGAGCTGTTCGCGAACAATAAACTTTTTTGACAGCCCTAGCAAGAATCAACATTTTTCAAAATTGTTTTTATTTTTTGTAGTCTTCAGGCTGAATTGAAAACGGTTTAGCATGCATAACCATCCCCCAACCAGGCTTAATTGGCCTCAACATTTAATGACTGCTCTAAATAATTACATTGAATTCTGCATGTGTTCCTCCAACCCGACTAGCCTAGCAAGTAGCATGAATTAATTTTTACTCAGTGACTATCTAGAAAGTCTAGTTAATTTTACATACATACATTAATAAAATAAAATAAAATAAGGAAATTTTGCATACATATCACACTATTACTATGCATTTACATATCTAACCCTTAAAATTTTCATAACCCTCAAAATTTTCATATTTACCTTTATAGCACTTTAGTGTGATGAACATACGTATTTAAAATGTGTATTTTATTTACCTTTATAGCACTTTAGTGTGATGAACATATGTATTTAAAATGTGTATTTCGCATTTAAGAAGTTAGTGAAGGTGATATTTTTTTATGGATGTTAAATTTGGGTGGTATGTATGTAAATAAAAAAGTTTAGATGTCACTCATGTAAATATTAGAAAAATTGTGTGGTATGTATGTAAAGCCCCAAAAATCAAAAGAGTTGCCCTAGTATCCTTTCTCTGCTCTCTCCGTCTCTCCCTCGCCTCCAAGCTCTCTTCGTTCGGTGAATCATGGAAGAAATAGTTAGGGCCCCGAAATAAGACGCTTGGACTTGTTCCTTTCTGCCTTCTAGTGTTTTGCGGTGCTGCAAGTTCATTACCGCGAGGTTTTCGCATCCTATTAGGGTTTGAGATTGATCAGATCGTCGCGATGGCGGGTGCGAAGCAATCGAAGAGGGTTTCTTGGGCCCCTGGTCTGAACCTGTGTCAGGTAAAACGATTCATGCAACCAATCGGATCCGCGTGACTTTTCTTACTCTTTAAATTGCGAATTTGTTATTCTTTTCAATCGACTCGCTTCTATCTACCACCATCGATGGTGCTAAATGAGTTGGTACATATTCCTCTCTTCACTCGTATTATTTCCTCTTTTCATTTCATTTGGCTCTCATTTCTTCTTTCTTCTCTGTTCCGATCTGCTTTCAAAATCTTATCATACTTCGTAATCCACTGTATCCAGTTTCCTATCAACGAAATGTTTGATTTTGATGTTAGGTATAGGTTTCTACCTGTCAACTTCGCATTTAATGCTCTAGTGTTGGTTAAAGCAAATTTTTTTTTCTCTTGAAAAGTTTGTTTTGTTCCAACATTGAGAGACATTTTTCCTCATAGAAGCATGCCCAGTCTTTTGCTGATGCTGATAGAATAGAATCGCTTTATAGTGAGTACTTCGATTCCTTATTTCATCATTGATTGATGAAGCTTGCTCAAGATGATAATCAAACCATGGGATATTTGCAATTTCCAAGAGCTATAATTGATAAATCACCAACTCTTGCAGTGACATTGCCAAATCAAAATTTAAATTAAAAACCGTATCATTGATTGATGAAGCTTGCTCAAGATGATAATCGAACCATGGGATATCTGCAATTTCCAAGAGCTATAATTGTTAAATCACTAACTCTTGCAGTGACATTCCCAAATCAAAATTTAAATTAAAAACCGTAAATTTTCATAAATTGGAGAGCATATGAATTTCATTCCCTGTAATAGTTATAAATCTGAAATTGTTTTTGAAGAAAGAAATGATTTTTCCCAATGGGAAACTATGCAGCTGAATATATGAACGAATTGGCCGTAGTAAATACAAGTTATTCACTTTACCAAACTGATCCTTGTGAAATATGAGTGATCTAATAACAACGAACATTCCCTTTAAATTTTTTTCAGATTTATGGGAGTAAGTTGGAATAATAGAGTTTTAGGTGCAACCTCACACTTGAAATTTTAAAAAATAACCTATTTATATATGGAAAGAACTGTTTCAACTGTGGTTAAACTTCACTTGAAAAAGGTATAATTTAATTTTTTCTTAAAATTCATTTAAAATTATAATTGAGATATATATATATATATATATATATATATGAATTACTGGTGAAGAAGGTTTTTCCTGGAGCTGGAGATCTCAAGTTGCCTTTGGCCATTACGAAAATTTAAAGACATATGAACAATATCTTCTTCTGCTGCAATTTTAGCTTTAACAAATGAGAATGGAGTTAACTTGTGCTTAACAAGTCTTAAAATCAGAAAAAATAAGATAAGCAGCCCTTTTGTAAGAAAAAATTAATTCGTATCGCGGTGAACAAATTTACAACAGAAACAACTGCAGAGTGTTTTCTAACCTGGTTAATATTTTCTGGAATAATGGCTGCTTTTTTCACCATGAAGCAATACCTGATGCATCCATCTGGAAATTTATATGTTCATTCTTACTATAACATTACTATAATACTCATAGTTGAATTCTTGAACAAAGAACTTAATGACCGTTGAAAATGCTCAAGTATAAATTTGAAATATTGAATGAACAAGTCAATGATCCAAGAATATCTTTTGAGCTTAAGTTAGAAAGCCTCAACATCAGTTCATATAATAATTATTTCTGCTTAAATTGCTGAGTTCCCAAGTGCATACTCTGAAATGAGGATTTATCATGGTGCATTTAATACTTTTTAAAGAAAGTAAAGTGATGTCATTAATAATGATAATAATAATTTTCATGACTGTTATGGTATCCCTCTCTTATGCGATTAAGAATAAAACGAAACGTTTAGAATTTGATTCTAACAGGAATGAAACAGCAATTTCTAATGATTCCCTTTTGATGAATGGGTTCTGCTCCTTCACTTCATTTGACTACTTCAAAGGGAAAACAATAATATTTTCTATATATGATGCACTTTCATTATCAGAAGATATAAGGACAATATGACATCGATCTTTAATACAATAATTCTTGATTAAATCATGAGAAGGAAACCGCTTGGAAATCCTAAGCTACTATATATATATATATATACATATTAAATGATTGCAATTTTTTAAAACTAATTCATAAAAATCAGGTTAATCCCTTTAAATCTAAACATTTAAGCATATCCTATAATGAGGGCCTAGCAACTTTTGAAACCTTATTCATACGAATCATGCTAATCACTTTAAAATTAAACATTTAAACAAGTAGTCACAATTAGTCTATGGTTTAATTAGTGCTAGTTTGGGATCCTTTAATTTTAATTTTTGTTTTTTTTTCCTTTTGTTTTGAAAAATATGTTTGTTTAATGTGTTTTTAACGTATTTTTATTTTTAGTTTCTAAAAATAAATAAACATAATTTTGAAAACATTCGAAATAACTTCTTTTTGGGGTGTTTTGAGTGTTCTAAAAAACAACCGTTTCTTAATCAAACATACCAAATGTTTTATGTTTAAAATCAAAACATAAGTAAAACAAAATTAAAATAAAAAAATGAAGTGATCCCAAATGTCCCCTTAATTAATTAATTAATTACATAGAAAAGCTCGCATCTGTAGAGGTAGAGGCATTCTCGTTGGAAGCCACCCAAAATATTGCAATAGAAGCGATCTGATTTTAAGCTTTGATACAGTTTGATCTTTTTCTCACAGTTGATGTACTAAACTCTTTAAAACTTTATCTGTTGTTCCAAAAAGAAGCAGCAGGAAAAAGCTATACTAAATGAAGCCTTAAGGCCGGCTTTAGATATAAATGTAAATAAATGTAATATTCCAAAATTGTGAACGCTTGTTCTTTATGCATGATTCATGAAATCTTTAATACTGAGTTTAAGATGCTTCAAATTTATTTATAAGAATGAAATATGAGTGATGACTGAAAGGACCAAAGTCTTAATACCTCAATCTGTGTAATATTTAATACTGGAATTATTTCTTTTAGAGAGCAATGATGCAAAGATGCAGTAGACCATTTCCTCTCCTCAACTTTAATAAATATTATGGCCTGCTTACTGAGGCAAGGGGATGTTTGAAATGTCTCAAGCAATTACTGGCAAATAATTCAATACCAAATAATACTCATTCAATTATGAATGCTATGATATAAAACACAGATTTCTGATTTCTTGGAGCAGGCCATGGGCTAAACATAATATTGAACTAAGTTCAGTATTTAATTAAATAATGGAAGATTTACTGGCATACCGCACAGTCCCCATGTATTTACATATCTAAGACCTGAACTTCAATTTTACATACATAACATCTTATCTCTAAGTGAAAAAGGTGTATTTCGCTTTTTAAAAGTTAAATGATGATATTTTTCTTATGTGATATGAAAGATTGTGGTGGTATAAATGCAATAGGTAATGTTTAAGTTTTAGAAATGTAAATACATACGATTTGGGTTGTATGTATGTAAATGCCTCTTAAATAAATAAGCATTCACATCTAAAAAGTTACGACTCAGATGGTTTGTTGGCCAACAGTTTGAATTTCTCTTGACTATGTTGTTTCCTTCATTAGCCATCTTATATGAAGTCCATCTTGACTATTGTTGGCAACATAAGTGAAACTATTTCTGGAATTATCGAAAACTTTGGGCCCCAAAATGTAATTTGTGAATGCATATTGTCCAATCAACGCCACCGAGGCATTTGGTTGAGCAAACTGTACCACTGAAAAAGAAATAAACAGTTATTTAATTGATAGATTTATTTAAATGAAATAATCATTTATTTAATTTGTGAATAAAGTCCTATAATATTATATGGAATATTTTGTAGATTATATAATGTTGTAATCTCATTAAATCATGTTAGTCAAAATAATAAAAACTTTAAAGTTTCATTGTATAGCAAGTTCCAAAATCTAAATTAATCATCTTAAACAAGACATTTTAAAACATATTTTAGCAACTTAAGTAGTTAAAATAATTGAATTTGTGCATATAAATTGTCTCGAGATATTATAATTTTCATTAATGAATGTTTTATCTTATTTTTATTTTCTATGCTTTTTTTAAATTATATTTGTAGTTTTCCATCTATTTTTGTATCTATTTGAACACAATTTCTTCATTCTAATGATTTAATTTCATAGCATTTGACTTAGCTATCTTTCTAGTAGACATCCTTGTTTAAAAGTAAGGCATCTTAAATGTTAGCAACCATCAAAGTCAAGGCAATTTACCTGTTGATTAACATGGCATCTTGAAGCAAGGTGCATTTATAACCTTATCTTTCTTGTTTGAGCACCTAATTAATTTTTAATTTCATTAGTTTTCAATTTTTTTTAGGATAATTGATATGGTGCTCATAAAAAAAGTTCGAGTCAATGTATTATTAATATTTTTAAAACTATTTTTGATGGAGCATTGAGCTATATTTGAAATAACTGCTCAGTTGATTAAAGAAGTTTTTATTATATTAATATTACATCAAGAATCAACATTTTTATCTTTTTTGCGTTGATTATGAAAATTTATGAGAAGAATAGTCAATTGAAGTTACTTGGAGTATTCTTTTTAAAAATAAAATAATGTAAATTGTTGGCAAATATTAAAGTAAATGAAATTTTGAGACTTGAAAAATTTTTAGAACACATGCTATATATAATTTCAGTGGATATAATATTAGAAATTATCCCAAAAAAAAAAAAAAAGCTTCTTGATAGTGCACAAGGTTTCTCAAAAGATGTAGAGCATGGCATATGGCATGACTATTGCTACATAAAAGTAATTCGAATTATAAAAAATTATTAAAAATTTATTAATAATTCAATATTGTAATTTCATAAAACTATTGCTACATAAAAGTAATTCGAATTATAAAAAAATATTAAAAACATAATCCAACATTATAAGTAAAAACATCCTAAAAATTGAATAATATATAAGATTGCATAACTTATCATAAAAGGTTAATGAAAGAAAAAAAAAACATCATAGAAAA